GCCCAACCCAACTGCAGAGCATCTTGAAGTTCCCTAGGGATTGGCTCCCCCAAGGGTCTGAGCCCCAGAGCTGTTTGGGCACCACCGCCTCCTATTGAGTCCTGGCAGCCCCTCACCACTGCCCACTAGTGGCCTGGTTGGAACCCTCAGGCCAACTAATGTAAGGATATCACCACATCAGGAATGAACGAGCCTCCGCAGAAGGGGGAGATGGCACAGGACAGCAAAGTCCGAAGAGTGGAGAGGAGGTGGCCAAGGGCAGTGAGACTAGGCCTGATATTGACATCTGGGCTGGGCTTGAGTAAAACGTCAGGGGCAGAGGATCCACAGAAACTCACGGACCCCATGGTAGGAGGTGCTACCTCTCCAGGAGCAGAAGACTGAGTGTCTCCTGTCTGGTTGCTCTAGTGGGCGGCGTCAGGTCTGGGAAGACCCCACTGCCCTGTCCACTTTACCAAGCTTCCCATTACCAAAAGGGAAAGGGAAGATGTCATCACCGAGGCCAGCTGTTTGGAAAAGTTGATGAAACGCTCCTTCAGTTGAGGACTTCTTGGTTCTCCTAATAGCCAACATAGCTGGCAAGTGTCCAAGAGAAAGATACTGCAGTTTTTAAAAAGTTTTTTGAGACAGGATCTTGCTATGTAGCTCAGTCTTGCCTTAAACTCGCAATCATCTTGCCTCAGCCTCCCGGTACTGGGAAGACAGGCATGGGCCATCTAAACTGACTCATGCCATTAGCACGGTTGAATGAGTGAGGGAAGTCTCAGACCCCTCCCTCTCCCATGGAAGGTCTGTGGAAAGACCTCTTCTCTGAAGAGTTCTTGAAGTAGAGAAGGCTTCGTGTTGTTCAGGTATAAGGGCCTCTTCCTCAGAGTGTGAAAGGGAGCCCGGTCCCTGAGGGAATGGTGTGAGGACCCACCACGGAGGATGATCTTGAAGGACACTATTTCAGACAGCCTGCCCAGTGCATACCGTGAAGATTGTTTGTAGTTGGTGGCTGCCACTCTCATCATGTAGCTCTGTCCTCCATGGTGACCTGCAGTATGGACAGCCAGGGACCATTACTATCCTGGTCAGGAGAAAGCAACTGATCCCTTCCTTCATGTCCGGTCAGCAGGGACTTCTCCCCACAGGACAGCATCTATGTGGTGGGCAGGGAGGCCTAGAGCCTTCTGGAAGAACTCTGCCCAGGAATCCCAGTGACTGTCTCAGGACTCATCCCTAACATTGGCCGAGGTGAACTGGCTGGGCTGGACACCTGGGAGGAAAGTTGTTATTCCATGGTCACTTTTCTTACCCCAGTGGGAGGAGAGATAGAGTGGCTTTAGCAGGAAGATGACATAAACTTTTCCCCCGAGATGCACCAAGTAGGTCCAGGGCACAGCAGGATGCTGAGGCCCCAGTTCAACCCCGCCCATGACAGTCTGTCCCCTACTAGGGCAGGAATCCTTCCCGGCCTGCTCCATGCCTTCCCCGCTGGGCCTCTGCCTGTTCTGCTGTGGGGCCGCCTGAGGACGCTCCCTCCACACTGCGCCACCTCCCTGGGGCAGCCCGTCCCCCACACAGAGCCCAGGCTCTGAGTCCTGGTTGTATCTTGTGGCTCTCCCTTCCAAGCTGTCCTGGAAATTTCCTCTGAACTTCTAGTCTGCTCCATGCCAAGAACTTCCCTAGTCCTTGGGCCACTCGTAACCTCTTCCCTGAGTCCACCTTAGCCTCACCAATAAGCCAACTAAATCTGCCTTCCTTGTGCCTCTTGATCCATAAATGCTCCAACTTCAATCTACTCATGGCCAGAGCCAGAGTGTGCTGCAGGTAGACGCACCCTGTTCTCCCCTCCAAGTCCTCATCTGCCCCCGCCTCCCGCCTACACGGGACTGTCCAGCCTTACCTTCGTCTCCATCTCCCTGCTGAAGCGGTGTCCTGCTCCTGGCCCTTGCAGGAGCCCAGCCCAGGGCCTGTGAGCACGCCCCTCCTGGCTGCTCATTAGTCCCAGCACAGGTAGCCACAGTGATGGCTGGACTCGAACTTGTAACCCTCCTGCCACAGCCTGTGAGAGTCTGGCTGAGGATATTTTTCAAGCTCAGAGACTGTAGCAGAAATGGAGGCCCTAGGGCTGGGAGAGGAGAGGAAGCGGGTGGGGAGGGTGGTCAGGCTCTGGTGGTCACAGCTTCGCTCGGCTTTACTTCCTGCCTTTTCATCATCCGGCCTGGGTGAGGGGTGCAGAGGAGGGCTGCCTAGTGTGGGGGGCTGAGAATGTACCCCTTCTACCAGCTCAGACACTGTCTAAATCTTCTGCTTTCAGTGCCCACCACCCCAGAGCCCAGGCTGGGGCAGAGCCAATGAGGGCCCTTTAGGTGTCACATAAAGCCAGCAAACCCTCAGTCCAGCCTCAGGACAGGTGTCCAGGACAGCCGTCACTCTCGTGTGAGCCATCTCAGGGGGACACGGCACAGGGCCTGGGGTTAACACTGCCTCCCTAGGACGCTGGCCAGGTCCCCAGTGAGGAAATGACCTTTTTTCCTCAGGGACAAGTCTGGGATCAGCCATCTCAGGGACAGTCCTGACACCCTAGGCTTGAGGCTCTGGGATCTTGGACTCAAGGATGTGGCCTGAGACAGGATTAGTCTGAACAAACAACCTCTTAAGGACAAGGCCAAACCCTGGCACCCTGTGACCTAAAGATCCCGGCATATACAGCAGAGTGCAGCCACCTGTGCCCCTGGTCCCCCTGCCAGGGCCCTGCAGCGAGCTGTGACTGTAACCTCAGCACCTGGCTCTGTCAGGCAGCCACATCCACTGCCCCTGTACCTGGCTCTGGGCCTCTGCCTGCTGGGCTCACAGGAGAGGTCGAAGAGCCAAGGGTCCCCTGATCTTCTGTCTGCTCCAGCAAATAGGTTGGAGATGAGGGCGAGGAGAGAGACTCAGGCATCTCGCTCTGCTCCAGGGCCTGGACTGGGGCTTCTGCGAGAGCCAGGACCTGGGCTCAGCAGGCTCAGAGCAGCATCCTGTCCTTCCCTGTCCAGCCACCCTTTCTTCCCCGACCTTTACAGGAACCAGGAAGATGCACAAGGCACATGGAGCGGAACATTCATTCTTTGCTTCTCTCTCTATCTCTCTGTTTCAGTCTCTGTCTCTTTCTCTCTCTCTTTCTGAGACAGAGTCTTTGTAAGTATTCAAGCTGCTCTTGAACGCACTGTGTAGCCCAGGCTGGCCTTCAACTTTGGCAACACTCCTGCCTCAGCCTCCTGAGTGCTGGGATTGCAGGAGTGTTCTGTCATGCTTCTATCATGTCCAGTGCATTCTTTACTGCCCGTTGATGTAGTGAGAGGCCCTTGCCACACAACTGGCCCTCGGAACGGTCAGAAACGATAGCTTGTCAGGACCCGAGCTTCTGACCGAAAAAGTCACTGGATGCCCAGAAGATGCCCGGGCGAGCATGTGCAGGGAGCCCTGCGCGGCTGGAGCTCTGGGAGTGTCCCACTTGTCCTCTGTCCTCTTCCTTTCTCTCTACCTTGCACAGTTGTGATGGGAGGGGGAGTAGATAGGCCACGTGTTTCTAAAGGTTGGCAGCAGCCAGGTGGCCTATAATTACTTCCTCTTCGGCGGTCTCCTCAGTCCTCCCTTTCCTCCTGCAACACCTGCCAGCTCAGTAGCTGCTCTGAAGCCATGGCCCTGGGTCTCCTGTGGCTGGGCCTCCTCCTGCTAGGGGCCCTGCTGACCCAAGCACAGGACTTCAAGGGGACCCTGATGCCAACATCATCTCAGAGCAAGATTCCCGTGCACCCAACCTTCGGGGATGCCCAGGTGAAGGCCGTGGAAGGCAGCTGTAGTGCAGGTGGCCATGGTAGTAGAGGGGAGGGGAGGCAGAGGGACTCAGGAGCAAGGCAGTCTGAGCACAGCTGGACCAAGGGTCTAGGCCCCAGGTCATGCCGGGTGCAGACATTTTCAGTTCCTCCGCACAGATAAGAAAACTGAGGCTCAGCAGGGCCACCAGCCACTTGCCCAGGGCCACTCCATCCTTGACGACGCAGGGCTGACTCCTCTTCCATGGTCCCTCTTGGCCCTGGAGGACCCCAGTGCCTGCTGGTTTCTCAGGGGAGCCCTATCGCCAGTTTCTGCCGCCAAGAGGGCTTCCCAGAGGTCCCAACAGGGACGGGACGGGAGAGGTGGCTCTGGGGCTGTCCCTGGGCTCCGTCTCACCGTCTCTTGCAGTTCCCGGGGAGGTGGGACGCTATAGCCACGGCAGACAACAGAATTCGGGATGGGAAGCAAAAGACGCTAAACTTGCACAGCACGACCTACGAGCTGGGAGTCGATCACAGCTACGTTGTCGTCACCTCCACGTTCAGGTGCATCCGCCTCCTCCTGCTGGTCCGAGAAGCAGGGCGATGCCAGTCCAGGGGCGACCAAAAGCCGAGGGACGCTGTCGTTCATCTCACGCTCTGCATCGACTCGACCTTCTCTCTTCTCTCCTTCTTCTTTGTCTCCCTCCTTCCGTTCCTCCCTCTCTCCCTCCCTTCCTTTCCTCAACATTTGCAGGTGGCTTTAGCACAACCACAGTCAGAAGAAAACAAGACGTAGTGTGTCAGAGGGGAAGGGGGCACTGCATCCAGCCTGGGATGCCACCCAGTGCCACCAGGTAGGCCTGGTAGGGATGGCACCGTAACACTGCTCACCTGCTTGTAGTCCTAGCATCTCTCCAGAGGCTGAGGCGGGAGGATCGCAAAATTGAAATCAGACTGGGCAGTAAAGCAAGCGATTGCCTGAAAACAGAAATGAAAAAAGGCTGGGGACTCATGTCAGGGCCATGGGCCTGGGTTCGTCCACTACTGTTGCCAAGACAAAAGAAAAGAAAAGATGTCACGGGGGTCACAGCAGGACCGTGGGACTCTGAGCCAGAGAGCCTCACCTCGGGACGCTGATGAAAGGCCAGGAGGAGAGCACTCCCTGGCCAGTGTCTGGGGTGTCTCACCCCGAGTCAGGGTTGGCCTGGGCATCCTTCAAGGGCCAGGATCTGGGCGCAGCTGCCGCAGGAGAGCTGGGAGACAACTGTGAAAGTAATGCCAGGTGGGAGGTGGCAGAGGTAGGGCACAAGAAGACTCACGGGCACCTGCAGTCGGTTCTGGCTCTGGCCGCAGGGTACACTGGCTTGAGCCCTACAAGGTCTTGAGCCCTTGAAGGTAAAAGGCAACAGGAAGGCAGGTTTGGTTGGCTTGGGGTGCAGAGGTTGGGTGGACTCAGGGGTGAGGTCAGGTGCGGCCCAAGGGCTAGGGTGGAGCTTGGCACGGAGCAGCCTGAGAGCTCAGGAAATTGCCAGGAGAGACGGCAAAGAGGAGCAGCGAGATAGAGCAGGGCTCAGGGCCTGGGGACCGTGTGGGACAGGCTGCCCCGGGGAGGCAGCGGAGGGGACAGTGAGCGCCGGAGGGAGGGTGGTGTGGCCTCGCAGCAGACCAGGCAGAGGCTCGGGGGAGAAGGCCCGGGACCATGGAGATGTCTGATAGGGGCTTCTGCTGTGGAGAGGGACTGGCTGACAGGGGCTGGGCTAGACTGAGGCCTCGGAATCCTGCTCTGCTCTGGCCCTGTCGTGCACCTCGGGTGGGGGACCGAGGATGTGTTTCCTCTCTGTCAACCCCCCGCTGTGTCTCCTCTCACAGGGGCCCAGCCTATGACCACTGCACCAGGGCCTTTTATCCAAGGGACCAGCCTGGCCATTTCGTCTTGGAAAATATGAGTGGTGAGTTCTGAGTAGGGGGACCCTGGTGTTGGGATTCTTGGGGGCGGAGTCCTCCCAGGAGGGTCCAGGCCTCCGTGCCCCACCACACAGATGCTGTCCTGTGGGGAGGAGCCTCTGCCGACCGGTCATGGGGGAAGCGGGTCAGGCCCTTCTCCTGGCCAGGACAGGAATGAGCCCTGGCTGTCCACACCGCAGGTTGCAGTGTGCAGACACCTGCTACCATCAGTTTGCTGCGGTGTGTTTCACACAGGATTTCAGAGCCAGGACGTATCTCTACCTCACCCTCTATGCCGCGTCCTCACACCATTCCCTCAGGGACCTGGTTCCTGGTCACAACTGGGGGAGGCATCCCTATCCCCATAAGACCTCAAAGTCTTCTCCAGGTCAAGCCCTTTCCGGGGCGGAAGTCATTTCTCACTTGCCTTCCCTTGGGAGAGGGGTCCAAGACCTCCCTCCCTCACTCGAAAGTACTTATAGTGTGAGCGATGGATGCTGGCCTGTGTCATCCCAGTCCTGGGAGGCCGAGGCAGGATGATTGTGAGTTTAAAGGCCAGACTGAGCTACATAGCAAGACCTTGTCTGAAAAAACCTGAAACAAAATTGGAGTGTCTTTCTGTCAGCTGTAGGGAGAACCAAGGCGCTGAGTCCTGAACTGCAGGAGCACTTTGTCAATTTTGCCAAGTATTTTGGCCTCACTGGTGACAGCATAGTCTTCCCTGTCCCTATAGGTAATGGACAACGGGGAGAGGGGACAGGGAGGTGGGGTCTGTCCGGGCCTGAGGCTGCCCATTAGGGAAATGACAGGGGACACTCAGTCTTCTCCTCCAGCCACTCCCTCTGTGGGGTCTGTGCTACCCCTGCCAGTTAGCCGAGGCCAGCCCAGACGACATTTCAGGTTTCCCGTCTCCCTTCTCTGAGCCACCTCTTCTCCATTTCCTGGGTCTTGCTGTCCAGGGCCATCTCCCTTTTCCCTGGGGCTTGCTGGTTTCTTAGGTGGGAGATGTCCTTACATTCAAGCCCCCTGGCCTAGGCAGGGGGCTCCAGGCAGGCCACTCAGGGCCACTGGTTGAGGGACTCCCAGCGCTCAGCCGATAAACAGGCCAGAACCCTCGGTACCCTAGCAGCTTCGAAGCCCAAACACTGAGGGGAGACCATTGTTAGGCCCCGAATTCTGGGAATTCCCAGGTGCTCTGCAGCTGAGCTGGGCTTGAGGCAGACATGGTAGTTCAGGGGTCCCGGGAGCCAGAGATACACACACACACACACACACACACACACGCACGCACGCACACGAACAAGTACCTGCTCTGATGTTCATTCTCTCCCACAGAGATGTGCATCAATGATTGAACAGGCAGTGAGTTGGCTGGGCAGGGGGCAGATGGGAGGCCAGGGAAGGGTGGGGGTCTCGGGCCTGTGTTTCTTCCCCTGCTCCCATCCTGGAACCCAGCCGCCTTCCTCTCCTGTCCCACTCAGGTGCCTCCTGTCTCTGCACCCCTGTTCTTCCTGTCACTTCTGTCCAGGGTGCCCTCTGGCTGCCCTACTGTCCACAGTGCCCACGAGAGAGCCGGGAGACCCTTCTTACAGCGTAGTGCTGTCCACCCAGGGGTCCCCCACGCCATTCCCTGAATGGAGCCCCCTTGAATGCTACATAAACACATGTCACAGTTCTCCAGGTCTATGTTCCTTGTCCCCAGGGAGGGGTACTCATGTCTTGTGCTCCACGGCCTGGGTGCCCATGCAGATGAGAGGGCCCACAGTGGTCACAGTGGCCAGGGGACTGAAGGCCACAGCTCTGAGCAGAATCTGCAGTGGGTATTTGGTATCTATTGGGTCATCAGTGGCTCTGGACTCCTGTGGCCCTGGTCAGGAAGCCTCTGCCCATCATGGCCCTGGCACTGGATAAGACATCTTACCTCCCAGCTCTGGCACTTTGCCGTTTGTGGCTGCTGGCCTTCCAATTTATCAAGATTGGGGCTTGTCCGTTCAGCTACTCTGTTTTCCCATAGCACCTGGCTCCATGGCTGGGCCTCTGTTGGACACCACCGAACATGGCTTGTGGCAGAGGACAGGCCTGGCTCTCTGCACAAACTGTTTTGCCTTTGTGCTTGGGAGCCAGGCCAGGCCCAGAGAGTGCCCAGCCGAGGAATGGGAAGAGATATCCCTGTCCCAGAGCCATGGCACTCAGGCTCCTGCCTGGGGCTCCCTGTGTGTTCCTAGGGGACTGGGGCCTTTATGCCTGTCTCCAGCCTGCCCCATTTGTCCCGGTGGGGGAGAAAGGTCAGAGTCTCCCTCTGCTCCTGTCCCTACATGCCTGTTCAGGTGGGGGCAGTAGGTGGTTGAGTCTCCCCTCTGGAGAGGGGACACGAGGAACCTTGGAATGGCGGTGAGGGCCAGGGGGGCTCTTCCGGGAGAATCCGTTCCCTGTCACAGGGGCATGGCTGACCTGGGCCAGCAGGGACAGAAGAGATCAGTGCTGAGAACAGCCACTGAGACCTTTGCTTGTCTGCAGACCTTCTGGAGCCCCATCCTCAGGAAACTGGAGGGAAGAGTAGGCTTTTGGGGATAGGGTTTAGTGGCCCAGATCTTGGCCTGGACTCAGGCAAGAGGTCAGGTGTGGCCCCCAGATTAAAACATGGCGCGGAGCAGACTGGAAATCCCCAGGAGAGACCAGAAGGAGGAGCCGCAAGGTAAGAGCAGGGCTCAGCACCTGGGATCTATGTGTGGGACAGGCTGCCCTGAGCAGACAGTGCAGGACACTGTGTGTGCTACAAGGGGAGCTGAGCAACCCCTGCAGAAGACGAGACAGGCTCAGAGAGGAAGCCCAGGGCTACGGAGCGGGCTGGGCGTGGACCCTGCTATAGTTGGGGAGAGGCTGGTCTCGGCAGGACTCAGAATCCTGCTCTAGCCTGGCCCAACTACGTGCAGATCCTCCCTGCTAAACCCCATCCATCTTTCCTGCCGCAGGGCCCAGGTCTGTGAACACTTTATCAGAAATTTTGTCCCAAGTGTCCAGTGTGGCCAGTTCACCACGGGCAATTTGGAACCTGAGTCCTGAGTAGTGAGATGCTGTCAATGGGATTCTGGGGACAGAGTCCTCTTAGGAGGGCACCGGCCTCCCTGCCCACCGCAGCAATGCTGTCCTAGGGGAAGAAACACCCCTTGAGTGGGCATAGGGGATCAGACCTTTTCTTCTGACCAGAGCAGGAATGAACTCTGGCTGTCTACACTGCAGGTCACCATGGAGTACCGGGCTACACCATGAGAGTGGCAGCCACCAACTACAATGAGTTCGCTGTGGGTTGCATCAAGCAAATTGTCAGGAACAGGTGTACTTTTCAGGACGGACCTCTCTGGTGCATCCTCACACCACTCCCTCAGGGACCTGCCTCCGGGTCACATGGGGGAAGGGGCCCTGATACCTGAAGACCCTTAAGTCTCCTCCACCTGAATCCCCCTTCAAGGTGGAGTCTTTTCACTCACCTTCCATGGGAGAGGGGTCTGAGGCCTCCTCTCTTCAGTCAACAGCATTTGAGGCCTGAACCATGTCTGCGGCCCCGTGCCTGTCATCCTAACACCGGGGAGGCTGAGGTGGGAGGATCTTGAGTTTAAGGCCAACCAGAACTATGTAGCAACACCTTGGCTTATAACACTTAAAACAATCACGCAGTGCTTCTCTTTTGGTCACTCACCCACCACCTTGGCCACAGGGAGAACTGAGGAGCTGAGCCCTGAGCCGAAGGAGGACTTTGTCACTTTTGCCAAGCACCTCGGCCTCACTGACGCCAACATTGGCTGCACTGTTCCCATGGTGATGGCCCTGACGGCTTCGCGAAGGTTGGCCCAGCCGAGAATTTTAGGCCCAGGTTTCCCCAGTCTCACTGCTCTGGGCCAGCTGCTCCCCATACCTGGTGTGGCTGTCATGGGCCATGTCCTCTCCATACTTAGGGTTGCTCTCTCCTGGGCGACCTCCTTTCCATAGCTTGGGTCTTGCTGTCCTGTGCCATCTCCCCCTTTCCATTGGGGCTTGCTGATTCCTCGGATGGCGATGTCCTCACTTTCCAGTGGCCAGGCCTTGAGTTCAGGGAATCCCCAGATCCTCTGCTTCTTGTCCAGCCTGGGCCTGTGGCAGAAATGGCAGTGCAGGAGTCCTGGCACTCAGAGATCACTTGTGTGTGTGTGCATGCACACGCTTGTGCCTGTGCACGTGTGTGCACCCCCCGCCTGCTCTGATGTTCTTTCTCCCTGCTAGAGAAGCGCATCTAGGATTGAACAAGCAGTGAGTATGGCTGGGCAGGGGGCTG